TTTCATCATTCTGTCTTATCTGATTTCCGACTTAGAAAATTTTCAACCAAAACTTCCCTGCGTCCTGACCTATACATTGCCAAGCCTAAATTCGTGGTAATTTTATGAACCAAAAGCAAAAAAGTGCAACCTTAAAGTTTCAAGAGTTTTATTTATCACACATAAATGGCGTCATTTCTGCATGTGTTAGTCTATATATCCGAGAGTGTCTCTGTTTATGAGAATGGTTTTGTCCCAGAACTAAGAAACCTAAGGACCTGGAATTTGGGAGCATTATGCTGGGCGTCTGTGGACCAAGGAACACAAAATCAACTCACGCCATGGCGCAGGAAGCGTCACAAATTTGTGACCACGGCTTAGCGCCGTGACAGCACAGCTAGTACATACAGTACAGTATTCCGCAGCTGAATATACGCCTAGGCGCGTCATGATTAGCTAAGAAGAAATCCTGTACATTTCATTGAACTCACCTGCAGTATCTGATCACTAAGAATATGTAGCTGTACTGATCTCCTGTTGTTCATTTGCTTCTTGTCCTGTATAAACAATAAAGCTTTTTCAGCTGCGAGAAGTTGACCGTCCGCAGCTCCTTTAGCCAAACACTTTAGTGATGCATTTTAGTTGTTTGAAGTTGATGGTGATCGTTCATTCAAATATTCTTTATCACAGAACGCAGTTAATTAGCCAAGCATATCTGTTCAGTAATGGTTACTTGACCTTTTGACTAGCACCAACTGGTGTAGCCAGCGGCAACTTCGATTAGCCAGATAAGATGCTAAATAGTTTGCTGAAGAATAGTTAGTTGTCAGAGTGAATCCAACCACAGCAACATCAGATTAAACAAAATACACTGGAGCAGCTAGGATTCAACCTACAACGATTCTGAGTGTTGTTGCAATCACCACCATTGAAGCGGTATTAGCAGTTAGGTTCGGCTTCTGTTGATGATATTTTCTGCCACACCCTTTAGCATAACACCTGTACACTTTGTACTGTTCAGGCATATCGTGAACGGCGATTGAAAAATAATGAGTCGGCGAGGAAATCGCGTGAGTTACGACGTCAGAAAGAAGAATCGACGCAACGCCGGTACGACCAACTGCTTCACGAAAATAATATTCTGCGGGCGGAGCTGTCACTACTGCGCAACCAGGTTGAGCAGTTCAAGCAACTTTTGTCAATCTCCTCAAATACAGTAGCACAGCAGACATTCATCTCCGGCAGTTCTGCTCCCATCCTGTAGATCTTTCTGTTCTTCTGTTAGTTCGTTGTTCGACTAAACGCTTTCACAGCTGTTCCGGAAGTGTACATCGGGACAGGGCTGCCAGAAAATAAGCAATAACGAGTGCCCAGGCAATTATTCATTCAATCGAGCAATGCATCCTTTTTGTGTAAATACTCATTGCTTTACGGTTCGCATGAAGAGACGTGCCAAATTCTCTACTTTATTTGCTCTTACTCTAAAATATTACAGTTCATTTCTATCACGAATAAAAGGTCCAGGAAATCGGAAAGCAGCGACACACCCAAGTCACTTCAGCCGCGTGCGGACAACCACGTCCGCACGTCACTACCGCCATCAAACACCAAAGAATGTTGAAGCGCTGCATTCACAAATAATTAGCCAACGCACGGGCTGCCCGTGCGAAGATGCATTTTTTGCAGAGTTCCCCGCAGTTTTTGTCGCTACCGACATCGGTTTTTCCGGCAGATGCTACTAGCTGAAAGAATTTCAGACTGGCCGCCAGAACTGTCAATAAACATCCCCTCAAAATTCCAGTCTTTTAGCTTCTAACGTTCTCGAGTTAGCAACTTACCCGGAAGAAACTTTCACGGGTCTGTACGTAGGTACCACGCTTACCCGCGGGCAGGGCTTGAACTCGTTAATACCCACTTGGACAGGGAACATCTCCT